TTTTCCTATAACTTGATACCAAGTGTATTTGTGGGGCATTTCTCCTTTCAAAAGAGGAACGAATGTTACCATCTGTCCACATGAAAGTTCTATGCGTTTGCAAATGTTATATTTGTTGAATAAGAATTCTACTTCACCCAACTTTATCTTTAGAGAGAGTTTAGATTGAAAGGTAAAAATACATAATTTTTAAGATACTTTACCTTACCACCTTTGCCAGACTCCCCAACACCATCACTACAAGAGAACTTTCAGGACCCACAAGAAAATTCATTCATCCAAGAGATTATATCAGACCCTAGGCTTTCTCAGGTCTATACAAGGAGGAAAATGTCGAGTGCTGAGCATAAGTCGGTCCAAGAATCATACTTTGACTTTAGAATTGAGGTGAGTCTCGCAAAACCTATACAGTCTAATAATAGTATATCTATTGCACTTTATAAATATACAAGAAAATGCACTAAATACCCTCTTTATTTTATCTCATAGTTTGTGTTATTTGATAAGTGTTTACCGTCTCATAAAAATTTTCTCACAAATTTCAATACTGAGTCTATTCTTAACACAGATATGAGATATTATCTTGTAGAAAATAAAAAAATACTGTGAATATAAAAATACAGACGCTTTAGAAAAACCAGACATAGGAAATGACAGATCTACCAAAGGCAAGAAACATGTAGGATACAAATGAGATATTTTCGCATTAAAAAAGGATATCGGTGGCTACTCTCCAGATCTTAATAAATATTTGGTATCAATTTATATAATCTTTTTGGAGAATACACCGTTCTTCTATTCATCATCTAATTCTACAAGTCAGTGGGAGGACGATGAATGGCTTATCTATAGGTTCACAACAAGTGTTTCTACCGAGCAATCAGATAATGATGTTTCTTCTAATGATGTGCCTCCAGCTCTAATTGAGCAAGTTGATGATGGTGATGATGTGTCTCTGACTCAAGTACAACCATCAATTGTTTGTATTTATTTTCGAAAACAATAGACTAATGATATATGTCCTACGCCAACTTCTTCGTCATCAAATCTTACTCCACATGACTTTGATTTTCCCATTAGTACTCGCAAAAGTAAATGTCGATGCACAATTCCTAAATCTACTTATTCCATTACTAATTTTATTTCATACGATTACCTGTTTCTTTCATGTAACTCTTTAATTGCTTTTATAGATTCAATTTTCATATCCAAAACAGTTAAGAAGACTTTAAATCATCCTGGTTGGTATAATGTAATGCTTGATGAGATAAATACTCTCAATGAAAATCAAACTTGGGATTTGATGGATTTACCCAAAGGTAAAAAGGCTATGGGGTGCAAATAGGTATTTTCAGTCAAAATAAATTTAAATGGCTCTGTGGCAAGACTTAAAACCAGTCTTATAGCAAAAGACTATACTTAAACTTATGAGATGGATTATTCTGATACTTTCTCTTGGTTGGCCAAACTTACATATGTCTGTTTATTCATTTCTATTGCGGCATCTCAAAACTACCTCTTACACCAATTGAATATCAGGAATGTATTCATTTACGGCGATCTCCCAGAAGAAGTGTATATAAAGTAATCACCTGAATTTGTTGTTTAAGGGGAGTATGAGAAAGTATATTATTTGAAAAAAAAATTTGTATGCTTTGAAACACAGTTTCCGTGCGTGGTTTGATAAATGTAATGAAGTAATTTTAGAATTTGAGATGAAAAAGAACAAGTGCAATCACTTAATCTTCTATAAACAATCAGTACCTGGTAGTATATTTCTTGTTGTTTATATTGTTATTACAGGAGATGATTGGTAAGCTAAAATATTTCTTTAGAGTAGAAGTAACAAGAAGCGATAAATGGATTTTCTCTTCTCAGAAGAAATATATATTTGATCTACTTGCAAAAACTGGAAAGTTGGAAGTTAAGTCATGCAACACACAAATGGTGTCAAATGTATATATTACAAAAGATGATGGTGATCCCCTTGATGATTCTTGAACTACTTCACAGTGACTCACCCCGATATTATCTATATTGTTAGTGTTGCTACATAATTTATATTTGTACCTACAGTCAAACACTGGGATGCTTTGGAACAAATTCTGTGCTACCTAAAATGAGTTTCGAGACTTGACATATTATTTAGCAATCATAAGCACACTTGTATTAAATACTTTGCAGATACTGATTGAGTTCGATCTAAAATTGATAGAAGATCCATTATGGGTTATTACGTTTTTATTGGTGGGAACTTGTTATCATGAAGAAGTAAGAAACAGATCGTTGTGTCTCAATCTAGTGCAGAGTCTGAGAATAGAGTTATGACCCGTGTCACCTACAAAACTCTGGTGTGATAATCAGATTGCCCTCCATATTATTTAAAATCCAGTGTATTATGAAAGAACCGAACATATCGAAATTGATTGTCACTTTCTCCATGAGAAAATTTAGAACTTGATTTCTATTGACTATATGAAAACAAAAGAACAACTACATGATATATTCACAAAGGCTTTAAACGGAACTCGGACTAAATATCTTTATAACAAACTGAACATAATTAATATTTATGCTCCAGCTTGAGGGACAATAATTTACAAGATAACAACATACTTTCCTTATATGATGTATAATTATAGGTAGTTGATTTTTCATATACATTACCGTAATAATAGGCAGCAAATTAATAGACTAATTTATGTTAGTTAAAATCTCTCTGTATGTATATATATAACAAATCTATTGGAATAATATTATAAAAAAGTATTCCTATACTTTTCTGTTCAATTACATATACAAATAGGTCATTATTATCAAATACAACACAAATCGGATAATTGAAGATATAAAGAGAGACTTGTGGCAAATGACTATACGCAGACATATAGGATAGATTGCCAGAACACGTTTGCACCAATAGCCAAGATGAACATTATGCAAATCTTGTTGTCATTAGCTACTCACTTTGATTGATAATTACAATAATTTGATGCAAAATTATTTTTTTGCATAGAGATTTATAAGAAAAAATCTACATGAATATTCCACCAGACTTTGATAGAAAAGTAGGACCAAATAAGGTATGTAAACTAAAAGAACCTCCATATAAACTCAAACAATCGCCAAGAGCAAGGTTTGACAGGTTTGTAAGGGTGACGGATCTAGGATGTAAGTAGACTTAAGGAGACCACACTTTGTAAATCAAACATTTAGAGATAGGAGGGATTATAGCTCTTCTTATACATTAATGACATTATTGTAACAGAAAATGATGAGAAAGAAGAATTGATACTGAAATAATGGCTGACAAAAGAATTAAAAATTAAGAAACTTGGTAAGTTGAAGTATTTCCTAGGATTTGAAGTCGCCTACCCAAGATCTGGGATTTTTATTTCTCAGTAGAAATACATTCATGACATGTTGAGGGACATTGGTAAATTAACATCAAAACCATCAAATACTTTTATTGATCCTAATTGCAAATTAAGAATAACAGAAGAAAATATGTCAGTAAATAAGAAGATGTAGCTGAGATAAGTTGAGAGATTAACATACTTATCTCACACGAGACCAGACATTACTTATGCAGTGAGTGCTATAAGTGAATTCACGCACAGTTTGAAAGAAATATGCCTACAAACAATTTACAGAGTACTGCATTACCTTAGGGTTCCGTGACAAAGGAATTATGTTCATGAAGAGTGATAAACTACCCTGAGAAACCTATATTAATGTAGATTATGCAGGATAAGTCGTAGACAGAAAGTCTACGACATGATATTGTATCTTCTATGGGGCAATCTAGTCACCTGAAGAAGTAAGAAGTAAAGTATAGTTGAGAGATCAAGTGCAGAACCAGAATTTCTACAATGATACAAGTATGAGAACTACTATGGATAAAAAAAATCTTGAAGATCTTAAAAACAAGTGGGAAAACCTTATGCACCTATACTATGATAACAATTAGCCATAAGCATTGCCTTATAATCCAGTGCAACACGAATGAACCAAATACATTGAGATCGATCAACATTTTATCAAAGAAAAACTTGATAATAGCCTAATATGTACCTCATACACGCCTATCAATTCTCAACTAGCAGATGTGTTAACTAATGTCTTAAAAAATCTAATATTTCAATCTCTTTTTGACAAGCTGTGATGAACAATATTTCTCAGCATAAGGGGGAGTGTTAAAGAAATGGTAAATTAGGTCAATGGTAAATTATATCTTTTGTAATTAATTATAATTTATTGTTTATTTCTTTTTTCTTTCTATATAACCTGTATATATAAAATTGTAATATTCAATAAAATGTACATTAAATCATTCTTAATAGGTATAAATAACTAATACCATATGGTACAGGTGCTGAAAATTTGGATTCCAGTAACGTAGCTTTGCCTTGCTTATGCATTACATGATAAAAGATAAATTACCAAAATAGCATGCTTGCATATGAGACATAGTTAAACACTTCTTCAATTTGTTAACAATACAAAGCCAAGTTCACAACTTTGAGCTTGTACTAAAGGGAACAGAGACAGCCCTATATCTTGTTGAATTTTGTTAAAATAACAAAAGTAGATTACTCATAAAAGGTAATTGTTTACTAACCATTCGAACAATCTTGGCTATTGTCGAGTTGGAGCCAGTGGAAGAGGCTTCAATCCTTAGAGGACCATCCTGAAACGGATAGGAAATAAGCCTTCTTGTTAAATAACCCGACATGATCGTTGGGTTAACGCTAAAATTGGTCATGTATTTTAGCTGGTGCAGAAATGAGATGCCAAATCTCCCTTGATGATTCTAATAATTTCAAACTAATGTCTACATGGATTTCCACAACAAAATGCTGCTTATATATCGATATGAATTTGCTACAAAAATTACATATTCTTAAGTCTCTCGATCATACCCAATTAATAGTTCCGGCTGAGACGGTGAAGCCTTCTTCCTTAAATACAGGAAGCGACTCTCCAGTGAGCATAGATTCATCCACAACACTTCTTCCTCCAAGAACTCTCCCCTGCACCAAAAATATCAGTTTCAGTGAGACTCAATATTGCATAAGTTATGTTTTTCCTGCAGCACTGACATGTTAGCTACATGATGATCTTCCTTATCTGTTCTCTGACGAGGTCCTCGCATTTTTAACAAAAGATACATGTGTGATGTGTCATACAGAGGCTAAATCTTCAGCTGAGTCCAATACAAATTCTCTCCATTTGCTAATCTAAAATTCCTATTTGTTTTAGGGCTTCTTAATTTTTCATATAGTTTCTATTCAATCTTGATAAGGAAAGAAGTTTAAGTTTCCTCTATAAAGAGGATTTTTAACTGTAGGGATTTCTGGGTTTGGCACAATAGTTACTTTGAGTTCCTTTTCTTTGGAGAGAATTATGTTTTGGACATTTTGGTACTTCTGGGTTGCAGTTAGTAACTGTATGGTAATCTCTTACTCTAGTCCAAATATTCACTTAGTCTGAGAGATTTTGGTTTGAGATT